TAAAAATGTCAGAATGTTTCAATTTTGAACGATTTGAATTTAAATTGTGGTGGTGTACTTTAGAAAAAGCTGAAAGAAATCATTTTCATTCAAAAAGTATGACCATACGTTCCCATTATTTTTAAGGTGGTCTAAGACATTTCAGATCTCTTATGCTTAATTTACCGGTTGATTGCTACCGATTGCATCTGTAGTCGTTCTATCGCCATGAGCTATTGAAAAAAACTTTTGCTTTGGGTTTATGTGGCCCGAAGAGAATTAGACCAGATTCAAAATTATGGGCACATATCGAAGGTCCTCTGCATAGATCCAATTAAAGTTTTTGCGTTTCATAATTTAGCAATACTATGTTTGTAATTATTGTGCGTTATTTGCAATCAATTTGTTAGCTTTCAAATTGCGATCACTTAAAAAAGAATTGTTATTTTATTTTAACAATAGCAAACTATTATTAAGGGCGTGTGTGAATCGGTAACAAAGTTCTATGGGGAAAGCTGTTGAATAATATTTTTACTATGGTGAGAAAGTTTTGCCAACCTGCTGTGTGAAATTAAATATTTTTTGACAGCAGTAAATTTTTGATAACCGCAGATTTAAGCGGAATAAAATATTACAAATGAAATATTACAAGTGAAATTAATATTTTAAGTAAAGATCTACCATCGTTGATTGCAATTCATTAATTTAAGCTTTTATTTAACGAAAAATTACACACATCAACAATCTTTGCGATTGTCAAAATTTTATATGCATTTGTCAAAAATTTTCCTAGCCTCATGAGCTACTGAAATTTTATTCACCTCATAGTTGTCAAGAATTTACTCGCCGCGAACTTTTTTACCGATTCACACACGCTCTAAGTAGCTAAACGAAAATAAGTCGATTTTGTATTACTAAGCAACGGCGCAATACGAAAAATTTCATTATTTCCTATTAAGACATTACTTACCAATTGACACTTTCTGAGTTATGCCAATATTCACCATAAACACTACCCTACAAGACACTGCTGAGCACTTTACGCACAAACTCCAACACATTCACAAATATTTTACTATTTTCTAATACATTCTCATTTGCAGCCATTGCTATAATAACTTTGTTGTCATGACAACAAGATTTGTGATGAGGAAATCATGTCTTGGAAGTAATTATTTCATATTAAAAGTACCCGGTATTGAAGCAAAAGTTCAAACAATTTAGAATTTCCACAACATTTTTAGATACCATTGTTGTAATTAATTGACTTGTAGGATTCTAGTTCTGCATTGCATATTTACGTACGATAAATGCGCTTTTATACCGCGCGGTGTCAATTCAATCTTATATGGTTACTTTTTTGCACAAGTACTTTTCACAGAAGAAGTGCATCTCTAAGACTTACAAAATAACTCATGAAAACGAACTCGTTTATTGTTTGCAAATTCGTTGCCATTTTCGTAGCTAAAATCAGGTGAGCTAACTAAAATTGTTATATTTTCTATAATTTTTATATTTTTCAGCAAATAAATTGCAAAATTTGGTACTGGCCGTGTTAATTTGAAGGAAGTATTAGTAGTGAAGTGATAAAAAGTGATTTAAGTAACATATGTAAATTGTGCAAAATTTTGCACAGGCTTGTGGCTCTTTCAGTGACTATATTGAAGTTAGGATTTGTGTGCAAACAAAAATGTAGAAAGCCGGAATGCTTTAAAATCATGGTGTGGAATCTAATCTTAAGACATGATCTGTGTTGTGCCGTGTTTTCCAAAAATTTCGGATTTCAATCCTTTTGGGTGTGTAAAAGACTAAACTGCATTAAGGGCCAGTTTTTCAGGTCACGGTTGTGGCTTAAACTCTCGAGCTGGTTAGTTCAAACTAAGATTGGCCAATCAAATGCCAATCAGCTGTTCAATATAAACTTAGTTTAAGTAATTTAAGTTCAAACTGGCCCTAAGTCACTGAAAGCGCCAGCAGCAAAAATATAGGGAAAGTATTATATGCAGTGGTTTTTGTTAATAATAAAAACCTTTGTGTGCAATGTGCGGAACCGAGGTGGTGTATTGCTTTACAACTTATGTATATTTGCATGTTTGGGGAATTCATATTGGAGTCGTATTGTTTTATGTCGTAAACTTCAAACGCCTAAAAAATATATTAAAGGGGTTCGTAAAGTACCATCAAAGTCATATTATGAATAATAGTTGGTTGTCGTTTCAAGT